ACTAAGAACAGAAATAAATTAAATGTGGAGTTTCGAGGGGATTTAAGATTAAAATTGACCAATTTTGAACCCAATGTAACGAACCTTGCAGAAAAAAAAACACCAGGCACACCCATGTCATTGATTAAGAAGCAATAAATCCGTAGTTACTTTACTTATTATTTCTACTTACTTATAATTACTTATTATTTCATAAATATTAAGGTATTTATATTTCAACATTAATATATTTTTCATAAAACTATTGTTACACTATGTACTATTACTTTAATAAATGTTCAAAATCATAAAATAAATGTACATACACAGTATCTAATAGAGTTTTATTTTAATTAGCAGAAAATTACTTTTATGGGGGTCGATGGAGATTTCGAAAAATTATGTAGGGGTCGATGATCAGAAAAGTTTGGCAACCCCTGGTCTATGTAGTGAAAATCACGTCAACATAACTTAAACGTATCATCTAAAATAAATCTGAGCATGCGCAGTTGCCTCATTCTTACCTACGGAATTTAACGTAAAAGTGAGAAATCTCCCTTTTTTTTAAATAGAAAAAGCTTATAACATTTAGACATATTTGAACATCTTGTAACTACATTTTATTTCGAAGCAGTTTCATATTGAATTAAACTTTTAACTTTATAATTACACGAGTACGATTTTTTTTAATTAAAATGTATGATGCATTGCAATTGGAAAAAGAAAAAAAAAAAGCAATGCAAGTGGAAGTTTTTCCGGGAAACGCGTTTTTATTTCAATTGCGCGACACCATGCTAGTTCAGGTATAATTAATTATTTAACTAGAAGACACCACACCCTGCTGGCCGGGATAGCCTGGTCGGTAGGGCGCTGGGCCCATGTCCGAGAGTTCGTGGCTTTGAAACCCGCCGGCCGAAGACTCCCCGTGTTATAAAGTGACTGATGCACGTTAAATCTGTCGAATCGCGAAAGTCCTCCATGTTCCCATAACAAATCAATACGTCGGGGGTACTGGATTGGAGATCGATCGCTCTCTGGTTCAGGTCAAAATTACGATCTGTGGATGAATGAATGGATGTATGAATTTGTCCGCCCTATAAACGGGTGTGGCATAAGTCGAATTCTTGGCCACAGATGGCGCCACTGGAAAACAAGAACAATCGTACCCCCTCTGCCTAAACAGGCATTCTTCAGGCACAACAACAGCAACCACCCCCTGCTCACTAACGCTCGCCAGCTATGTGATGTGAAAGTTTTATTTTTCGCTTGATATTGAAAAAAAATCATAAGAATCTTGTTAATAGTTAATTAGCGTAATTTATAACCAAATCATTTTTTATTATAAATAGC